CTGAATCATAATTAATTATTTTTATAGGATTAGAAACTACTGCATTATTTTTAATGTTTCTTTTTTTTTTACTATTTTATCAACGCGGAAAGAAAATAGATAAATCAATCAACAACCGAGCCATGATAAATAGTTGAGAGATAAGAGGGAACGTGATAGAACAAGCGATAATTAGAACAAACAGAATGGTCAACTTTATGATCGATAAAATAGATTAACGACGCTCCTTTTAAAGCTTGAAGCCTCTACTTTCGCACACCACTGTTCATTTTCTTACATGTTCATTGTATAACACGGCAGATGGGAAACCGAGGGAGGACATGTATTTTCTAAAAAAATGTTACAAATTGAAATGTCTCTGAAAACTTTGAAAATCTTTTCTCGCTACTGATTCTACCAATAAATTTTCAGATTGAAGCTCCCTTTTATATTGACCTACTAAAACTTGATATACGAGTTTTTGGCCGTTTTATTGAGGGACGAATGAAAGGTATACTGCAAACTTGAAAGTAATATAAGGTTATACCGGTAGGGCTTTACACGGCCGAACTTGTTCCTCATTTCTGTACCGTAAAACGACTAAAAAGGACCGTATACGAAGTTTTAGGGGCTCGTTGTAAAGAGCGGGCATTATGTACTCTTCGATATTCTAATAGATTCGTTCGCGAAGACCGATTTTCTGATGTTTTCAGAGACGTTTGAATTCGCATAATTTTCGAGAGAAAATTTATCTTTTGTTTGCCACGTAATATATATAATTTACGGTAAATATATATTTATAGATAATATTTTTAAATAAATGAAGCGACACGTACGAGCCATATTCTACGATAAAATTTGGAGAATCTAAATAAATAAATATATATATTTATATAAATTATTTAATATATATTATATATAAATTATATATTTATATATATATTATAAATATATTATATATATATAAATATATATTTATATAAATTAATAATAATTAATTATAATAATATTATAATTATAATTATAATAATTATATTTATATTTAATTATATATTTTATATATTTTATTTATATTATTATTATATATATATACAAAAATATTTTAAAAAAAGTGAACGAATTGTAATGAATTTTCAAGCATCGATAAGTTCGAATACTTTCTGGAACGGTTGCGGTAACGATTTAGAAAAAAAAAAACAGAAAACCCATCAATTTCGAATCAGGCCTTATGCGCTCGATTATGTGAGCGAGGAGAAATGAAACCTTACACCTGTTGAGAACAGAGTTCACCGCAAAATGCGTAACGCCGCATATTTGTGTAGGTGAGAGTTGTTCGCCGAGCATAATCAACTTCGGAAAACCGGCCGGTCGCCTTATTGTAATTGGCCTAATGCCGACACGCCAGCATTTTCAATTCTAAATATGCTCGGTCGTTGCGTTCGATTAACGGTTGGCTGCGGATTTTACGTATCCGTGGCGAAAATAAATGGACCAAGTGCAAAACAAGTGCAGAACATTTACACGATTTATATCATTGCGTCATTGTCGACTTAGTAAAATTATTACGAATAATAATAAAGGTCTACGTAGTTACTGCATCCTGCAATTGATGAAGACAATTTTGATTTTGCGTAAAGATCCGCAGTTTAGTTGTAAGCATTGTTGTGAAAATGGTTCGTCGTTCGACAACGACGACGATTATTCGAACTATCATCTGCATTTTACAACTTGTCGGAACTGGAAGAATTTTAAAAGACAACGTGCACGGTCTTTTACCTTTTATTTTGCTCTCTACCGTTTGTTTCTCCGATCTAGAACCGTACGTAGGTACAGTTTCGGTCACAGTCCTCAAATTTAATTTTGCCTTAGGCCTTCCACGTGCATAATCCGCCATTCTTAATACCCAACAATTGCTGACGCGTCGTATTCATCAACTGTCTCCAGGATCTCTTTTTGCTGACAATTCTGTCTACGCCAGGATGCCCTGTCCCGTGTTTTCATTCCTTTGTTTTTCGTCCGCACCGTACCGTACCCCCACAAACTAAATCGACGATTTCTCTTCGAACCAAAATGAAAGTATGTACATAACTCGTGTTTTTTTTTCGAGTTGAATGTTTTTCGATTGCAAACGATAATTAGCATTATATTATTGTCATAAACGTTCCGGACATTCAAATTTTACAATAAAAATTAATCGTAGTTAATTTTTATTATATAAATTCATCGTAATTTAATTTTATAATGAAAATTTATTGTAATTAGATTTTATAATAAAAATCCATTACGACTGAATTTTCCAATAAAAATTTATCGTAGTTAAATTTTCTAATTGTAAATTCATCGTAATTTAATTTTATAATGAAAATTTATTGTAATTAGATTTTATAATAAAAATCCATTACGATTGAATTTTCCAATACAAATTTATCGTAGTTAAATTTTCTAATGTAAATTCATCGTAATTTAATTTTATAATGAAAATTTAATGTAATTAGATTTTATAATAAAAATCCATTACGATTGAATTTTC